TTTATATATATATATATATATATATATATATATATATATATATATATATATGATTGCGTTGGAGACAACACCCTCCTTACATACCCAAAACTCTATTTCCCATTTCTATCGGTCTCGCTCTCTCCTCTTCCATATTCTACTAATCAATGAAGGAAGCCCAAGAACAGGCAACAAATACCGTTGGTAAGCATACTCTTAAGTTTGGACACTTTATAATTGAAACTGTTTCCTCTTCTCTGTTCTAAAATTTATGCAGTAGTGACTTGTGCCTTATGTATGAAAATTTGTACATAGTACTTGACATACTGAGCATTTTCTATTATTATTTTAGCATGGTAGTAAATAAAACGGGAGAGTTTGTCAAGGGTAAATCGGCGACTATATTCATAACAATCATGCAATATGACTTGTAGAATAGGGTATAATACTTGTATATTTAGGAACTGACCATCAACAAACTCTAATAAGCTTTTACTTTATACTTTTTTTCTTTGTTTAATTAATAATCATCATGAATTTTTTTTTAATGAGTTGGACCTATGATTGGAAGCTGTACATAAATACATAATAATTTAAAAGGTATGAGGCCCAAGATCCTGGAATGATTAGATATTGTCCAATAATTTATTATTGCTTGTATGGCATGCATAAAAGGTTGTATATTCAGCTGGACTTGATTATTTTATATCTGAAAATTTCAAGGAATGACCACAGACACATAGGAAATCATTCAAAAACTTGTACCTAACACAGTAAAAATTGTTCAAACATGAATTGAAGAAGATAACGATGAAATAGACTTGTATAATCTGCATAAACGGTTCTACCTCGTTATGCGTTTCATGATTATAGCTATGATTATCAATAATAGATATAAAAATATACGGATATAATATTAAATTATTTTATCACTGAATGACTATTTATTTCGTGAAAGATATTTGTGATTTGTTAAATCGATTCAAAAGACTTTTTTTTTTTTTTTTTTTTTTTTTGTGAATTTAACTTTATTTTAACGAAATAAACAATTTCAGGAAAAAATCACGAAATAAAAAAAATTATAACTTTTGATAACATTATTATTCGTGTTTAAGTGTAAACAAAATTATGTTCAACAAATTTCGTAATAAGATTGCCAACTCTCCCACCCTTTATTAATTGAGAATTTTGTTCTGATGAGTTTCTTTTTTTTTTTTTTTTTTTTTTTTTTTAACATTATTATTCGTTTTTAAGTGTAAACAAAATTATGTTAAACAAATTTCGTAATAAGATTGTCAACTCTCCCACCCTTTAGAGGGGAGGATATGGAGGGATGTTTCCCTTATTTTTTGTGGGCCACACCATTATTTCCTTTACTTTCTTTTCCCTCACCTAAAACAAAGGAATGGGTAGGAAGCTTCCTTCACTATTTTTTTATTTTAAAAAAAAATATATTTCATACATATATTATACTTATTTTGTAGGGAAATAAAAACCATGAATTTTGATATATATTTTATATTTTTTTAGTATGTATATAATATTATAAATATTAAAAAAGATAATAATAAAAAAATTGCCCAATAGCATGAGGAGAGAGAGTGCGGCACCCCCTCACCCACCTCTTTCCCGCGGGTTGCTCCCCTCACCCAAGGGATGGTGTTCCGATGAGAGGGAAGCTTCCCTCTCCCTTTTCCCGCTTTCATTCCGTCCGGCCTTATTAATTGAGAATTTTGTTTTGATGAGTTTCGTTGTTTTTTATTATTTTTTTTTTTGAAATGACAAACTAACTAACCTACTACTCCTAAATAACTATATATGTCTCCACCGAAACTTGAACCCATGACCTCTCATATGAGAGGATCACTTCTTACCGCTAGGTCATTGGCCCTTTGGTCGTTGTTGACTCTTTTGGAAGATAAGTTTTTACCAATAATAAAAGATGTCTATAATTTTGTTACAACTTATTTTGTTTATATGACAGAGATACTTTCTTACAAGTTTCCTGATTCTTTTACATCACGAAATGGCATCAGTTTTCTTTCTTTCTTTTTATTTATTTATTATTTTTTTAATCATAAAAAGAATTAAAATTCGGAAAATATAATGTTAAAAAGGTTACGAGCTAGTGGATATTTTTCATAAAAATAGATAATCATTTTATTATAGACAATGAAAATTAGCATTTTAATTATGATATAGGGTGTGTTTGGCAAAATTAGCTGGTAGCGAGTAGCTTGTATCGTTTTGTTAAACGCTATATAAAATAGCATTTGGATTTGGAGCGTTTTGTAGGGGTGTGTATGAGGCGGTTTGGTTCGGTTATTGGTCAAAACCTAACCATAACCATTACAATTGGTTAATGTATTTCAATAGTCATTGGGTAACGGTTAATATTAGTTTTGGTTAATGGTTTTAGTCAGTTAATGGTTATGGTTAATGGTTAATATCGGTTAACCAAAATGGTCCAAGATAACATAAAAATAAAAATATTTTTCTATAAAAACTGAAATTACAAAGACTATTGTTATAAAATGTGAATGATTGTGTATATATAATTGTATTGATAGAAGATTACTTGTCCTATCTAACTCCAAATAATTACCCTTTAAATTTTGAATTTTTAATATAATTACATACCATATATTTAATATTATATTATATTAAAAAACATTTGTTAATATTATTGGTTCGGTTCGATTTATAATGGTTCGGTTTTTGATGAAAACCAATATCGAACCATATGTATTTGGTTAATTAAAATTAGAAACCGAACCATATCTTTTAGTAATGGTTCGGTTATATGGGTTAATTTGGTTATGGTTCGGTTTTTCGGTTAAGATGCTCACCCCTAGCGTTTTGTTGAAACTAAACGCTAGAAGCTTGTACTGCCGAACGAGACTTTCTGTTCAAAACGGAGCGTTTTGTCAAACGCTAAAAACTAGAAGTTCTCAAACGCTCCCAAACGCTCCGTGCCGAACACGCTCATAATCTCTCCAAAATTAATTAGCTTTGTGATTATACGTCGACATGGTTTTTGTGATTCTCACTCTAATTATGTTATTTTCCGCCTTATGAAATTCTCCCCTTTGATATTAACATCAAAATTTTCGATTTGCAAATAAATCTTTTGATTATTTTTTTTTGATTCCGAATACTACATTTCGAAATGTTTTATTTAACCGTTTTTTAATAAAACGTTTAAGTTTATGCACTAATATCGTATATAATTAAGATTACTATGTTTGTGTAACTTTTTGTTAAATTTAAGTACAAAACAATTTTTTTTTTCAAAATTCCTGAATTGTTCTTCGGACTTCGGACTTGTTCTTGAAATTACGGAATTTTTTTTTTCCGAAATCCTAAATTTTAGTCCGGAATCTGGAATGTTGGTCTGGAATCCGGAATATTGTTCCAGAATCATTCAAAAAAGTATTTTTTTCTTAGTCCGAAATACCCATTCCGGACCAAATGATTATTTTTGCCAAAAAAAAAGTTGTTATTTTTTTCAAATATACTTTAAAAAATTGTTAGATTACTTAATTTCCCATAAAATAATATATTTTATTACTATTTTATATATTATATTAAAAGATAATAATTAGAATGTTAGAATTTTATTCCTCCCATCCTCATCCGGCGATTCTTGAAAATTCATAACCTATAAAATGTATTTAATATTTTTTTTTAAAAATAATTAAAAATTACCAATTAACAAAGTACATTTCATTAAAAAAATTAATAAACTACTACACCCAGCGCGAATAAAAGCATAAAACGACATTTAAAATTAGAAGGCATTAGTAAAAACAATTCTAAAACAATAATTAAAAGTCTAAAATAAAATTATATATTTCCTAACCATAAAGCCCTACAGTATGTCGTTTCTTGGTGAGCATGGAATTCAGCATCTCTTCGATCAAATGGTCATGCGGCTTAAGAAAGAGCCACATATCAGTTTCCTCTCGTTCCGCCTTAATCGCTCGTATGTCTTCCTCTAAGAATGCCATTTTCCCTTGTCGGGGATGGGTTGATGTTCGTTGTCTAATTCTTCGTTTTGTTTTTGATGGATGAGAGATGGTTTGTCGCTTGGTTCTTCGGGTTCTTTGTTTTGAGCATCACAAAATTGCGATGTTTTGGGAGTGGAATATCATAATTGGGTTTTTGGAAAGGATTATGAATAGTAGGGGAACGAATTACAACTTATATTTTCTTGAGATAGACAAAATTGGTTATACACTCGCTGCATATGTAGATAGTTATATTGGGGTTGATATGGTGAGAATTAAGGATAATTTGGAATTTGGGTTTCGGGAATGAAATATGGAAAATATTGAGAACCGCTTCTGGCTTCGTTGCGCCGATCATGTATTTGGCTTGAGCTGACTTTATGAGAGTTGCCACGACTAGAATCCATTTTAAACAGAATTGTAATAGAATTGGAGAAAGTTGGAATGAAAATAGAGAGAAGGTGTATGGTTCTTGAAGTGAGTTAGTTTATAATTCTTTTACAAGATCTAATTAACTGAGACATATATTTAGTCAAACTAAATTCAACATACATTTTTTTTAAAAAAACATTGTTTTACAATACAATTCTTTATTTTCAAAACGTAAATAATAGTCTCCAAAAGAATCGGTTCATAACTCTTGCTTCTTTGATCATATAGGAAGCCAACATTTTTGTGCTCATCTGCTTACCTTTTCTTGAATATCCGCAACTCATTTACAAATGTTATTCTTACACTTATCATCAAATACTTTAGTGTTAGATGAAAAGTAAAAGTTTTATAATATAGATACCTAATATAGATACCTGAAGTGTCTATTGTGGGCATTTTCTTTATTAACTCCTTAATCAGAATAGAACAATCTTCTCTTATCTTAAGAGGCGTTCGAGTCTCACTTGATCTTGAAACCTTTCATTAAAGTGAATTATCATGACATGTGCTGAGAGATGTTCCAATCCTCTTTGAAAGCATGGAAACATAGATTCAAGTATAAGGCGTGATACATTGATTGAAGCATCAATTGTTTTAAGAAAAAAAAAATGCAAAAATGGTCCTTGTAGTATGCATTTTTTTTTCGGGTTTTAGTCTAAACCCAACTTTTTTGGATTGGTGGTCATTTTAACCATGTTTGTATGAGGTTGTAGTCCATTCAAAAACTGAAATTAATGTAATACCCTTGTGTAATTATTTTCTATTTTTCTATCATTATTTATCTATTTAAGTAATTAAAAAAAAATACCCCCACTCTATCTCTCTATCCTAATCGACCAAGAAACTAAACTGTTCCCCACCCCATCTATTCCCCCATTCTCACAATTCCTTTGTATCTCTCCACCTCCCACACCACCCCAAACAAATCTTGATATCTTCCTTCCCTACCACACCGTTCCTATCTGTCACTACCTTCACCCTAATCCCCTACACTTCCTCCACCATCTTCACATTCATCTCCTGATCGACATTTTGTGGACATCCCACCATTAATACCCCTTCATTGTTCTACCTGTGATTGCTTGTGACCCATAAAATTGGGTAAACTAATTTGATTAGTCCTTAAAATATCTCCTCTCTTTTCTTTTTTCTGTAATACCAGTAAGTTTCCAAAAAAAAAACTTAGACTAATGATTTCTCAGGTTTTTGGTATATCCATCGAATATAGGTATTGAGTTTAACCCAATGAGCTTAATCACTTGAAGGTAGCTTGGTTTTTCAGGAGCACCATTGTCAAAGAAGAAATGGTAAGATCAAGCTTGCGAGAAATTTGATTTCTCCCCTATTAACATATCACTTACCAATTGTCTAGCTCTTACTCTCTCTTTCTAGAAGCACCATGGGAGTCGTCTCCTTCTACCAGTACCATAAAAGCAGTTTCCTGCTTACCTGTGATGATTAATTTAGTTACTAAAGAAAATCTATTTGAAGAGATGATTATGGAAGAGAAGGGCCTGGTTTTAAAGCTTTGGGTGTGAAGAAGAGAGAGAGAGAGAGAGAGAGAGAGAGAGAGAGAGAGAGAGGTAGGTATTATCTCTAGTGTTAGTTTTGTTATTAATCTTTCCACCACCGTCGTTATAACTCCCGCTGCAAAAGAAGAGGAAAGGGAAAGGATCTTAAAACCCAATTCGATTTTTACTGTTTTGATTTTTATTTTCGATATTGTGTTACTGTCTCAATTTGTTTATCTTCACAAACTATTGGTTTAAGATTTGGTTTGTGGATTTGGGTTCTTGTTTTGGTTTACAACTTTGATTTTCATCTGAACAATAATGATGGGTCACGACCCGTAAGGTGAACCACACCACCACCAAGTCAAAGAGATGCAGGGGGTACATGATGCTGATGCATTAGACTCTATTCATAAAAATAGAAACACATCGGTTTTGGTTTAGATTTTATTAGCGGTTTCAAGGTTTAATTAGCAGGAGAAGAACGATCGTCAAAGGTAGGTGCTCACCAGTGTGTGTGAGAGAGAAAGAGATATGTATTTTATTAGTTTTTAATTATTTAAATAGATAAAAAATAAAAGAAAAATAAAAACAAATACACAAGGGTATTATAATAAATTTAATTTTCGGAGGGACTAAAATCACATGCAAACTTGGTCAAAATGACAAAAAAAAAATAAGGTTTGGACCAAAACCCAGAAAAATGCATACCACAAGACCATTTTTACCATTTTTGCAGCATGTTTTGTGAGCTTCTATAGATGTGAGAGGGGGCTAAATGGGAAGTGAGAGGACAAGTATATTCAACTTCACTTAGCATTGAGAACCATTTTAAACTTTGATTCCAAATAAGGAAGTTCTTAATAAATAACTTTTCCTTCTTAAGGATTAATTGTAGGAAGTTCTTAATAAATAACTTTTCCTTCTTAAGGATGAATTGTAGGAGTAAGGTTCGACGTGTTCATGTTTTGGATTATCTACAAAGTTTTAACAAAATTCATTTAGTACGCTTAATAATTATATCTTCAATAACGAATATTCTTTAAGTTTCTAAAACATTAATTGTCAAAATCTAGCAACCAAATTGCAAAACAAATAATTAGTTAGGTGATCTTTATCATATTTATTTAATTCAACAAGGCAAATATTGATTATCAATGATATAATATATAATTCCTAGTGGCTTGAGATCGCTAACAACTTTTATTATTTGACATGTTTGATCACATCTATGTCTTAGGTCTCTTAAACTTAGGTATAATTTTTTTGTAAAAGATTCTCGATCAAATCATCCATTTTGAGGAACATGTGTAATCGGTCAATAACTAGATATAGGATCGTGAATTCACATCGGCCATCAAAAAATAAATACAAATGATTAGGTATCATTAATCCCACAAACATAATACAAGTGAGATGCGAGCGTTTTCAAAAAGACGATATAGACTTGCATTTTAAAATGGGTCTTTATATATTTTTATAATTATAGCTTAAAAACATATGATATAATGGGCATTACATATTAATAAACCATCATAACTTTTTATAAAATCACATTTTACCATTAGATTCTTTTAAAAATCCAACTTTATATTTTCGACACGATCAAATTTTAAATATTAATATTTTATATTTAACGTTTGACGTTTGAGTGCTAAAGAACCATTTACAAACATTTTAATAAAACTTCCATTTTATTATATAAGGTTTTGAATTTGATAAGTTTCTAAAATATCAATTTTAAACTTATAAATTTTAATTTTCAAAATTTATCGTTATAGAATTTTAAATGATAAAACTCATTTTATTTTTAAAACTATTTTATACGTATTATGTTTAAAATTAAAAGACAAATTTATTAAAACTAAACTACTTGTGAATTCAATAATTTGTTCTTTATTAATAGTAGACGTTGGATATTGAAGTAAAATATTTAACATTCGATTAATTATTTTAAAAATAATATTTTTCAAATTTTAATTAGAAAGTATAATAAATATTATTGAACGGAAGAAAGCAATTGATAAAGAATTCTAAATTCTAAAATGTTTAATAAATAGTAGCTGGTTGAAGAAATTTAAAACACAAAAAACTATTTTTCCAATAATGAAAAGTATTTTAATAACTAATTAATATATCTAATATTAATCTTATCAATAAAATCTTCTAAAAAACAAACCGTACATTCTTGATGGTTCACTCTTGAACACGCCCTGGGATCTAAGGGTAATAAAAATGAGAGGTGATATTTCATCACGGTTTTTAATATTTCATCAAAGTTTTTGATTCACCAAGCAATTAAATAAGGTGATTTGATTTTTATATTTTATATAATTTTGTATTTTAATTAAAATAAAACTATAAAAGTGAAATCTTTTAATAAATGGTACAGAAACTATCCTAGAAAGATTTTGTACATGTCTACGAAACAAGAGAAAAATTCAAATGCATGCATTAATGATTAAACCTAGAAACTGGTTTGATGATTCTGACCCTAATCAACATTTTTTTTTTGCTTAATTACTATAAATTACCAGAAATCCAATCAGATGGTGGAAGAGGCTCCTCAAAAGTTGTACAATACAAGTGGTGGATACTGATAGCATTTTTCACCATGTTTGTATTCTCCGGTCAATCAACAGCAACAATGTTGGGAAGACTTTACTTCACCAAAGGTGGAAACAGTAAATGGATGGCAACACTTGTTCAAACTGCTGGATTCCTACTTATGTATCCCTTCATCTTCCTCTTCTCACCTTCAAAAACACAACCAGAATACCATCAACAAGTCGCTGGAAAACCTTCATTGACCACCCTTGTGATACTCTATACAACTCTTGGAATATTCTTGGCTGCAGACTGCATGTTGTTTACCTTTGGACTCAACTTTTTGCCTGTTTCCACGTTCTCTTTGATCAGTGCGAGTCAACTCGCTTTCAACGCCTTCTTTTCATATTTTCTTAATGGCCAGAAGTTCACTCCTTTCATCGCTAATTCACTTGTTCTGCTCACTTTTTCGTCTACGCTGCTTGTGTTTCAGAGCGATTCTGAAGAGACTGGGAATGTATCGAGAAGCAAGTATATCATTGGTTTTGTTTGCACAGTCGCTGCTTCTGCAGGTAACATCTTCTTTAAACCGTTAAGAGTTGCATGTATAATTGAACCGTTAAACATTCTTTTTCAAAACAAGTTTAAGCTACAACTTATAATTTGATTTTACTCTTGTGGAACTCCGTATAATCTTTTGTTACATTTTTATGCAATTTTTTTTTTGCCTTTAGTGATGGTGTGGCTATGACGTTACTTCAACTTGTTTATTTTGGACATATGTAGTGATTCCTGACAAACTTACTAACTTACTGAAACATTTTTATAAAATAGTAACTACATTACAATAGTTTTTTTTTTTTTTTTTTTTTTTTCTAATTTGTGAAAATGGTAGAATATTAAGGGACAATACCACGAACATCACTACAAACATTTCACAACGTTTTCAGCTTCTGAACAATTTCTGAAATTCAAAAAAAAAAAAATACTAGTGAATTAAAACTGTTTCCATTCGTCTTGCACAATATCTTCACGTTAGCAACAACTTGAGAAATTAAATATCCTCCTACTTTTATTACTACAAATCTTCCTACTCAATTAAATGATGACAGTGTCATGTTAGTCTATTAAAATATCATTAAATAAACATTAAATATTATACATGTCACTATTTAATTGGGTAGGAGGATCCAAAAAATGATAGAGAGGCCCCGTCCCTTCTTTATGCACATCCATATACATAGCCAGACACAAAGGTGTACAATCCGGTAAAAATCTGCGGTTCTTTAAGTTCATTCACTATAGGTTCTCTTACTTGCTCTAGTGGCTTCTCTTACTTGCTCTAGTGGCTGGCAAAGGCCAACCGAGAGGGGAGAACGAATGGCTCAGGAAACAAAAAATAAGAAGATATTTAATTTCTCATTTTTTTAATCTTCATAAACATGGAAACAAAAAGATACATAATTTCACAAGAAAGGTACAAGACCGAAAGTTAAACTTTTCATAGAAAACTATGTATTTGGACTAGAACCATGTTAAAATTTGGTTACTATATATTTGATACAAAGTTCTATATATAACCATGAAGTTAACCATAAGGTGGTCTAATGGTGATGACTTGGGAATTAAGCATCCGTAATGGAGTTTCCCCAAGTTCGAATCATATAGGCTTCAACCTTAATTAGGGTGACTTGCAGCTCAAGATAAAGTTTATGTTGTCATTGTGTAGGGTGGGGTTTAATGCTTTCAATAACACAACTCGCGTTTCAAAAGATTTTGAAATCTACAAGTTACAAGGTGGTATTCGATATGACCGTGTACCAAAACTTAATAGCAAGTATTGGAATTCTAATGGGACTATTTGCTAGTGGTGAATGGAAAGATATAAAAGGGGAAATGAGGGGTTTTGAGTCTGGACAGGCTTCGTATATAATGAATCTTGTAGGAACAGCTGTCGCGTGGCAAGTTTTCACGGTTGGTTATGTGGGTTTGATCTTTGAGGTTTCGTCTCTTTTCTCAAATGTTATTAGTACTTTAGGTATCCCAATTGTGCCTGTTTTGGCAGTATGGTTTTTTGATGAAAAGATGAATGGAGTGAAGGTGATTTCCATGTTGTTAGCAATATGGGGGTTTGTCTCTTATATCTATCAGCACTATCTTGATGACTTGAAGGAAAAAACAAATGCTAGACTTGTAAATCTTGATCATGAAGTTAATCTTACGGAAACAATTAGTATAAGTCAATAAACATATGACTTTCTATTACTTAAAAAAAAATACTTTGTATTACTAGAATTTCCTTAATATGAGACAACCTTAGCTAGTGAAGTATGTACACAAAAAGATGCAAGACTATTTTTGTTTTGTAAGCACTGAATATATGAGACCTTAGCTAGTAAAGTATGTACACAAAAAGATGCAAGTCGATTTTTGTTTTGTAAGCAGTGAATATATGAGACCTTACTGTTTATGTATTTTATTCATACTGTCATTTGTTATGTCCTCATTTTTTGTTTTTATATATTTCACGTAACAAAATATATATCTTATATATTTCACGAGGTCTAATTTATCTACCCCATGGACTCTATTGTATTTTTTTTTGCCACATAAACACCACATCAAGAAAACAATAGTATTAAAATATCTCCACTATAATGAACGTCATATATTATAGAAAAAAAAAGCATGTGTAAATGAACAAAATACTATAAAACTGTACAAAACCTCTATGAACGAAGATTGTAAACAACGGCTTCCACTTTATTTTGAAGGCCGTGTCACCCTATTAGACATCCTAATTAAAACATATTATATTTTCTTTTTGCCATGTGTCACCATATTATATTTCCTAATTAATACATGTCACTTATCAACTTATTGATTCTTCATTTCAAATTTCAAATTTTCAATTTTTCACTCTAATTACATTAAATTAATAACATTAGAATAAAAATTAAAATAAAATTAATACAAATTATAAAGTGATATAATTTCACATATTTATTTAAATCAATGATTAAAATTTGTATAACTAAAAAAATCTCTTAATTAATAATATATTTAAAATAATTAATTAATAATTTCAAGTTTTTACTATAAAAGTTTAATTAACTTTGTAACCGTGGTCCCACGGGTTATAAACTAGTACAATATATAATCTTAGATAGTAACATAAATCGTGATGCTCTCCTAGCATTATTGAAAATAAAGTTATTCATGAACTCTTCATTATCAATGTTATCTGATATATCGTTTCCAGCAGATATCATTATTGAACCATTAATTTTTTTAGACATTATGACCCGTAAGTAGAACTTTAATAATATGGAAACAACTTGGCGCATAAAATTGTAACACCCATTAATCCAGATTAGACTTAAATATGTTATAAGAGACTTATTTATATTTAAATTAAGTATAAGGGTTTAATTAATATTTAAAATGCATATTTTTTTACATTTGAATAATAGATATGTGTTAAATGTGATAAACTAAATTGTGAATGAATTGATTAATTGGATCCAAATGTATTTGAAGACTTTGAGGAGGTGAGTTTATAAAGTCGGGAAACTACAATCGTAAAGCAAAATAAGAGAAATGGTGTTTTAGTTAAAAAGAACAATTTTTCAGTAAACCTGTCTATGGGGCGGGTTTGGAGCGAATCGCCAATGATTCAAACCCTTTAAAAAATTTAAAAACATGAACCGCCTTGCTCCAATAACCCCCAGGGTTTTGAGTAATCGAATCCATACCCGTATCCACCGAATCGATGAATACCTGACCCATTAACCCAACCCTTTTACAATATTAAAATTTCACAGTTTTGATGAGTACCCCAAGTAATATTTATCAAAAAATATGAAATGTCTTTAGAAACAAATATACATTAATTAATACTCAAAATCCAATACAATAAGAATTACATTTACTTAGACA